ATGTATCAATGTCGATGTCATTCGCTTTCAGTTCAGCATTCAGTATCATTTTTCGCTGTCCTAAATACCCTCTCATCCCATATTATTAATGCAATTTATAGAAGTTTCCTGGTAATTTCGCTTTTAATAATGAACATCAACACTTTTTCATTAATGAAAAAATATTGATATTCAGAACTTTTTGTGTTGTCTATGCATCTCATGGCGCCTACAATGAATAACAAAAAACTAGCAACAATGTGATGATTAACTAGGCTTTGCGATGTAGCCTGAGGGAGAAGGATGACGTCTTTGGTGGAATTCGAAATCTCCTTTTTTTAGCATTGGCAGCCTTATGCGTTTAGAAACACTTGGTTTACAGCTTTACTGAGCTATCAGCGAGTAACTAAGTTCAAAAAGACTTGACAAATGATCAGACAAAAAAATTAACAAGTGAAATATAAATAATTATTCTCTTCAGAAACCCAATATCATCTCTCTTGCCTAATCCCGATTCGATAATTCTATCATTTAAAAAGGTCACTAGCTCTGGCGAAATGTGCGGTTGGAGTGCAATTTATTTTGCGAAAGAAAGTGTAACAGTGATTCACATGTTTGCCATTGAGGAAATCGAATAGCGGTCGAGCGTAGTACTACAGATTGATTTTGTTTTTGATATCCCATCTCATGATGGCGTTCATGCAGGAACTTAGGGTTTTCATATTGAAATTTTCACTCTAATCATGGTGTTCCATTCTTTCTATAGTTACAACCTGCAGTTTTAAAGGAGATCAGTAGTTCGCAAAGATGGAGCCTATTAGCGGCAAATAGTCCCCTACCTTACTCTATCTTCATTCGCATTCGTTACAACTAAAGCCTTTTAATGTGTAATTGCAAGTAAATTAGTCCGTAAATCGTCAATATGATCTTCCGTAGTACTTTTACTATATGCGTTTATAGTCGATGTAATTTGTTGTGATGGCGAACTGTTAATCCAATGTGTCATTGTCACTACCAGTTAGCATCATGAACAAACAACCTTTGTAATCACTGAACTTGTTGTGCGCTGTGCAATTGCACCGTACGCAATAGTAATTCGCAAAATTCATCTAAAATTGCAACGGTAGATATCTAGCCCAAAGTATCATTTAAGATAAAAGTGTGGGTTGAATACACATGAAGTGATTTTTGTTTTCTCTTCATTTAAGTTTTTGCTAGTTTTACTGTTATAGGCGCTATCCACTAACATTGCCCCAAAATCTCAACATTTCGATTTCGCTAGAACTTGGCGTGCTGATCAAAAATATATCTCAATACATTCGTTTCTGTAGACTTGCGGTAGGTGTACTGTCAAAATTGTGAGTCCGACCATGTACTGTCCACCTACCGTGATCCCACAGTAGCCGTATCGTGTTTGGCCGTATCGTGTGATCACATCTGAGGTTACCCTTCTAGAGCGCTTCTACGGTAAACGGTTTTGACTCCTTTCCATATACTTACCAATTCTACAGATTGACCATCAGCATGCTAACTTACCTCTCTAAATGAAGTTTCAGCGGATTCGGAAAGTTTGAGATTTTGGAGCATTGTAACTGGAATAGTGATTAGTCATATTTTCTCTTATTTTTCCTTCAAGTTATAAACTTCTTGCAAAAACAAGAG